TTCATCATGTTGAGCTGGGATGTTCACGCCCCATCCTGCGCTGAGGTCCAGCGCGAAACCTGGGGCGAAGCCGGGCTCTCACGCGCGCGCGCGCCAGGAACTGCCGCGCCCAGATACCTCCGAGATCCCCGGCTCGCCCTCCACCAACTGGGGGGGTTCGACCGGGGTGCCGCCGAGCTTGACCAGGTCGGCGTCGATGGCGATCGCGATGGAGCCGAGGTCGCCCATCCTCGTGATGTCGTCGCCGCCCGCTGCGGCTCGTGAACGCCTCATCTGGCGGGTCGAGGTCGGGGCCCTCCACGCCGGTGACAAGTTCACGTGCCCCTCCGCCGGCACTGCCGCCAGGCCAGGCGTGAGGGGCGCAGCCTGACTGGCTGGCGTCAAGCCGCTTCCGCCTCCTGGCTCCTTCGAAGCGCGGCGCGGCGTCGGCGCTCGCCGCCTGCGCCTGCTCCACTCGTGCTCTGCGTGCCTCTGAGTGCGCCGCTGCTGTCTTGCCCTCCTCGGCTGCCCCGCAGCCCCTGCAGCCGCCCGCGCGCCCGAAGCCGCCCTCCGCCACCGGCCTCAGATCGACCTCGCGGCGGACGCAGACGCGCCTCGGCCCTGCAAGCGGTCTGCAGGCCGCGGGGGGCGGCTGCTCCTCGGCCAGGGCCACCGACGCAACCGCCGCAAACGGGAAAAAATTATCAGCGTCGCCGCCCGACTTGTGAGGCCCCAGCCATGGGGGGCCCCCTGCAAGCCTCCGCGAAGCTCTTGTCGCCCCAATGCTCCTCGGAAAGCCTCTGGAGCGTGGTGGCCTTGATTTTGCCGTCCTTCGTGAGGGCGATGACCTCGTCCGCGCTGTCCACGATGTCCACGCGCGCGCCCGCGTGGAAGCGCTCGCTGAGCTCGCGCCGACGACTGCCATCAGCCTCTGTGAGAAACATAACCCGCTCGCCGAACTCCGGGAGCCGCCGGCGGCAGGGCTTGCCTCTCCGCCTCTCGGATGCCGCCCTGCCGACGTCGCTGGGCTGTTGATGCCAGGTCAGCAGCTGCGACGCGCACCGAACAGCCCACGCAACAAAAGGATGTGCTGTCTGGAACTTCGCGCCGCGAAACTCGCCCGCCCTGTGCACCAAGACTCTCGTAGGACTGTGAACCTCCCAATTCGCGCGCTCGACGCGGTCGTTCGTCTGAGAGTCGCCGACCGGGCGCCCCTCGGGCGTCGCGGAGATCTCCCAGCCCGCGCGGCGGGACCTCTGAGACTGCAGCCCGCTTGAGCGCCAGAAGAGAACTCTCGCAGTCGGATTCGAGGATGAACTTAGCGTGGTCCGCGCGGATGACATCCTAGGCTACAATCTTGGCGGAGCACTCGCACTGGGCGCCCTTGCTCTGAACCGCGCGGGCGCTCGCCCAACAATGGCGAAGGGGGCCGCCCTGCTCTCGAACTCGTCGACCACATACTTCTCCAAGGAAACCGCAGTCGGCATGCAGCACTGGGGCCTGGCCATGAAATCGGGCGGCTCGATGCTGATCAGCCTTGCCGCGACCAGCCACGCAGTGCCTGTGCCGCGTTCGGTGAGGGAGGTGGCGCAGGTTGTGCTCAGTTACCTCCTCAGGCGCAGGTGTCATCGGACTCGCCAGAAACTTTGACCCCCGGCCGTCCGACGTCAGAGTCGCCGTGCACGGGGGCGTCTGCATCGCCCAAATTGCGAGGGGGGGCGCCGGCGCAGCCAAGCGGGGCGGCGTCGCCGAGGAGGGTGCCGCCGCGCCGCCCCCAGGGCCAGCTGGATCAGCAGGCGGAGAATCTGGGGGGCCCTGCATAGGAGGCCCGCCCTGCAGTGGAGCCACCTGCAGCTCCATGCTCTCGTCGGATCTTACGGTCACGCGGTCAAGCCTGCCCGCGGCCCCCCAGCCGCGGGGTCGCGGCCGCCTCGATCTCGAAGACGCTGCTCACTCGCTCGATCTTCAGGCTGGAACCGAAATAGACGTCGAGGCCCCCGTCGTTCATCTCTGCCGCGCTCAGCAGCGGCATGCGCGTCGCGCGCGTGGACCTTCGCGTCCATGTGCTAACCGGACTCGTTGTCGAGATGGCACGCGCGCTCGACGAGGTCCACGATGACCTCGCTGTCCTTGCCGGCGGGGGCGCGCTCGAACCCGGCCCTGGGATATGGCGCGTCCTTCGCGGGGTAGTCCGGGCAGAGATCCCCGGGCCAGACCGCGGCGCCCGCGCAGGGGTCGACGCCGATCCGCACGCGGCGGCTGCCGTCAGAGAGGTTGATCTCCCTGTGGCGCTCCATAGAGCAGAGCTGCAACGAGTAGAGCTGCTGCGTAGAAGCCAATGAAGTTGCTGTCCCACTCCTGTCTGGGCGAGGCTGAAAGCGCGGTGCAGGCGGTGGTGGTTGGCGTTGTCGCCGCCGCTGCTGCTGGTCGCCGCTCTGCCCGACCTGCCCGCGCTCGCCTCCGGTGCCCGAGCTGCCTGCAGCGTCCAGCGCTGCGCCCTCTGGTGGCCCCAGATGCCGCAACAGCCGCGCTCGCCGTTGAAGTGGTCCGATGCGCCTCCGCGGCCAGCGCCTGCTCCGCCACCGCCGCCACCTTGGCCTCGCCCTCCTCCGAACTTGCCGCCCGTGGAGATGCCGCGCTTGCCCTCGGAGTTGCAGTCCTTGCCCTTGCCCTTGCTCATGGGATTGCGGCCCTTGCCCGGG